CAGGTGATCCACCCACCTTGGCCACCCAAAGTGCTGGGATTACAGGCATGAGCCAGCATACCTGGCCACAAATTACATCTTTATATGTTGTATTACCCCTTAACATAGACTTAGTTTTTTTTTTTTAATACTTTTGTCTTTTACTTTCTATGCAAGAATTAAAAATCAATTTATGTACCAAGATTACAATAATATAGGCTACTTACTATATTTGTCCATTTATTGGCCTTTAACACAGAATGTTATACTTTTATATGGCTTCATGTTGCTGTGTAGCATGCTTTCATCTCAATCTGAAGAACCCTCTTTAGTATTTTTTTATAAGGCAGGTCTAATGGTTACTGAACTCCCACAACTGTCGTTTATCTGAGAAAGTCTTAATCTCTCCTTTATCTTTGAAGGATAGTTTAGCTGGATATAGTACTCTTGGTTAACAGTTTTGGGTTTTTTTGCACTCACAACTTTGAATGTATCATCCCACTGCATGCTGGCCTGTAAGGTTTCTGCTAAGAAATCTGCTGAAATTCTTATAGAACTCCCTTGAATGTGATAAGTTGCTTTTCTATTGTCAATTTCAAGCTTATCTTTGTATTTTACTTTTCACAATTTGATGATAATGTATCTTAGAGTGGGTGTCTTTGGAATTGTCCTCTCTGGAGTTCCTTGAGTTTCCTAAATTTGTATGCCCATTTCTTTCCTCAAGAAAAGGCAAGTTTGGGAAGTTTTAAGCCATTATTTCTACAAATAAGCTCTCTGTCACTTCTTCTCTCTTCTCACTCTGAGACTTACATCATGCATATACTGGTTCACTTGATCTCTTTGCTCCTCTGACATAATTTTATTATTTTGTTATAGCTTTTTGTAGACATGGGGTCTATGTTGACCAGGCTGGTCTTGAACACCTGGCTTCAAGTGATCCTCCTGCTTTGGCCTCCTAAAACACTGAGATTACAGGTGTAAGCCACTGTGCCCAGCCTCTGACTCAATTTTAGATTATTTGTCTTCAAGTGTGTTGATGTTTTCTTCTGCATAATCAAGTCTGCTCTTGACTTTAATAGTTCATATATTGTATTCTTCAGCTCCAGAATTTTTATTTGGTTCTTTCTTATAATTTATATCTTCTAGTTTATATTGTAACTTTGTTCTTGCATCATTTTCCTGATTTTGCTTAGTTTTTTGCATTCTCAGTTTTTAACTTATCTGTCACAGTTTTTAAATCATCTAACACAAAGCTCAGCGTCCTGCATTTCTTTAGGGTCAGTTTCTGAAGCTTTGTTTTCGTTTTTTATTTGATCAATGTCCCTGTTCCTTTGTATGCCTTCTGATCCTTTTTGAATGGGTATTTGACCATTTGAAAAAATGGAAAACAAATAACTTTCTGAATCTTTACAACTGGCTTCATACAGGGAAACACTTTCATGAACCAGCCCAGCTAGAGGTTTGGGGACCACCCAAATTTTTCTGCGAGATGTGCCTTCTTTGGGCTTGCATGTGTGTTTTTGACAGTCTTAATTTCCCTAGCAACTTATCGCTGTTGCTTCTCAGAAACCCATAATCTGCGTGTCCCTCTGACCTCTTCCAGCAGAAGTGTAGATCTCTTAAGATCTTATGTGCTGCAGCAATCATGTCTGTTTCCTGCAGCTTCCCAACTATGCTACCATTCCCTTCAGCACTCTGAGTGAGATGAGACGTATACCAGTTCTGTGGGCAGACTTTGGATAGGCCAAAATATTGAACACATAGTCCATTACTTTGTTTCTGTCCCAAGGGAGAAGGCAGGGTATAGGAAATTTCCTCCTGGTTGCATTGCACTCTACTGGGTGGGGAACACACATGCAAAATGCCACAAACTTTCCCACTCCTTTTGAAATAGTCCCTTCTTTTTAATGCTTTAGCTTGAGTGCTACAGCTTCTCAACTGGTCTTTACAATTCTCACAAACATGTCCTGGTCATTATATTCAAATTAACTGGGTGTTTCCATGGAGGAATAAGGGCCTGAAACTTCCTACTCTAACATGTTGATGATGTGGGTCCTACAGCCAAATTTTACAATCATTACTTGCAACACATAGCACCTTCCACTTCAGGTTGTATTGAATTTTTCTATCTCAATTTCTTTGATAATATTCCACCCTTAAGTCACTGAATCACACAAGAAAATTAGTCTTATAAGGTATACCCAGTATATCAAATTTACTCCTCAGTGGCTTTATGTGTTTTTAAATATTAAATCCATCCTCAAATGATAATGAGTTGTAACTGTGATCGAATATACAAAAAAAAAAAATCTGTCAGAAGTTTCCAAAGGTTATTTCTGAAAAGATTATTTTGCTAAAATATTGAGTTATGCTAGTATTCTGAGAATAAATATAATTCTTGCCCAGGTGGTTAACAGAGTTCTATAACAACAACAAAAGAAGGGTTTTAAGATAAGCTTGCATTATTTAAAATTACATATTTTACATCTTCCTAAAGAGATGTGAATACCTGCTTGTGATGGCCACAAGAAAGTAATTTGTTAATTGGGTACTACTTATCCTTCTATTATCATATTTAAAAGATTACTTATATACCTTAAAACTGCTCTACCTTTATTAATACATAATAAGTTGCAAACAGTATTTGAATTGAAAGATCTAGGCTCAACAGAATCTGCAAATCCTGAACATATCAACAGACAACTTTTTATTTAGAGATGTTAAAATGAATCCTGAGAAATACATGTGCTGAATATTATTCTCATATGTCATTAGACTAATATAAAAACACAGTATTACATGATCCTGATTTCATTTTTTTTCTTCAGACAGGGTCTTACTCTGTTACCCAGGCTGGAGTGCAATGGTGCAATCACAGCTCACTGCAGCCTCAACCTCCCCAGGTTCAGGAGATCCTCCCACCTTGGCCTCCCAAGGAACTGGGACTACAGGTGCGCACCACCATACCTAGCTAATTTTGCATTTTTTGTAGAGGTCGGGTGTCACCATGTTGCTCAGGCTGATCTCAAACTCCTAGGCTCAAGCAATCCTCTCACTTCAACCTCTCAAAAGTGTGAGGATTACAGGTTAAGAGCCATGTAATCCACCGTGCCCAGCCCTCATCTAGTTCTAACAATAAAATTTCTCTGCAGAACTTTAATACTGCAGGACTTCCTAATTAGCAGTTACTTCTAAAATAAGGCTAGATGTAGGGAAATAATTGATGTAGGTACTAAGAGACAAAATTGTAAACAAAGGTGTATTTGTGTCCTATTGCTGCCATAACAAATATCACAAACTTAATATTTAAACAACACAAATTTAATATTTTACAATTCTGTAGGTTCAGAAGTCTAATGTGGGTCTCAGCCAGTCAAAATCAAGGTATCTACTGAGCTGTGTTCCTTTCTGGAGGCTAAGAAAGGATCCATTTCTTTGCTCATTTAAGTTGCATGCAGAATCCAGTTTGCTGCAGTTAGAGCACTGAGATTTATGTCCTTTGTGACTGTCAGCTGAGGGTAATTCCCAGCTTCTAGAATATATCTGATGGCTGGCGTGGTGGCTCACACCTGTAATCCCAGCACTTTGGGAGGCCAAGGCAGGCAGATCACGAGGTCAAGAGATCGAGACCATCCTGGCCAACATGGTAAAACCCCATCTCTACTGAAAATATAAAAATTAGCTGGCCACGGTGGCATGTGCCTGTAGTCCCAGCTACCTGGGAGGCTGAAGCAGGAGAATCACTTGAAGCCAGGAGGTGGAGGTTGCAGTAAGCCGAGATTGCACCACTGCACTCCAGCCTGGTGACAAAGTGAGACTGTCACAAAAAAAAAAAAAAAAAGATATCTGAGTTCCATGTCTCATGGACCTCTTTCTCCATCTTCAAAGCCAGTAAGAGTGGGTTGAGTCTCTTTATCTACTCTTTTGATTCCTTCAGGTTTAAAGAGTTTATATGATTACTGGGGCCACTCACATAATCCTAGATAACCTCCCCATTTTAAGGTCAGCTGATTAACAACTTTAATTCCCTTTTGCCATGTGCTATGGTTTGAATGTTTGTTCCCTCCAAAACTCATGTTGAAACTTAATTCCCAATAGGACAGTATTGGGAAGTGGGGCCTTTAAAAGGTGACAAGGTCTGGGCACAGTGGCTCACACCTGAAACAATGACAACACTTTCAGAGGCCAAGGCAGGAGGACTGCTTGAAGCCAGAAGTTCAAGACCAGCCTGGGCAATGAAGCGAGGTCCGATCTCTATTAAAATTTTTTCTTAAATTAGCTGGGCAAGGTGGTATATGCCTGTAGTCCCATCCTCTCAAAGGGCTGAGGCAGGAGGACTGCTTGAGGCTAGGAGTTTGGAGGCTGCAGTAAGCAATGACTGGGCCACTGCACTCCAGCCTAGGTGACACAAGGAGATACCATTTCTAAAAGAAAACCTTTTCAAAAGAGGTGACTGGGTTATGGGGGATGTCCTCAGGAGAGGATTAATTCATCCATGGGTTAATGGATTATCATGGGAATTAGACAGGTGGTTTCATAAGAGGAAGAGAGACCATCGCTAGCATGCTCAGCCCTCTAGCCATGTGATACCCTGGCATCACCTCTGGACTCTGCAGCAGACCAGCAAGAAGGGCCTTATCAGAGGCAGTCCCTCAAATTTGTTTTTTGTAACTTTTTTTTTAAACAGAGTCTTGCTCTGTCACCCAGGCTGGTGTACAGTGGTGCAATCTCAGCTCACTGCAACCGCCCCCTCCCAGATTCAAGCATTTCTCCTGTCTCAGCCTCCTGAGTAGCTGGGATTACAGGCATGTGCCATGATGCCCAGCTATTCTATTTTTAGTAGAGAGAGCATTTCGCCATGTTGGCCAGGCTGCTCTTGAACTCCTGACCTCAGGCGATCCACCTGCCTCAGCCTCCCGAAGTGCTGGGATTACAGGCATGAGCCACCACGCCTGGCCCTGGCTTTTCGTTTGTTCATCTTCACATATTCTGAGTCACATATTTCAAATAATAAAACAAACCTTTACACACTTTTCCTGAATATCATTTTTCTGGGAAGCAAATTTGAGTTGTGGTTTTTTACCATCCATTCCAGATTCGTCATGTTTCACTTTGCTAAGATGATGATCCGCAATCCAGTCCATGAAGAGAGTTAAAAGTTCATAAACTTGCCCATTAAGTGGTACCTATATGTCAAAAATTAAATCATTTATTTCAGTTCACAACTTCATAAAACTTCAAAGACAAGCCTTAAATTTTGTAAGTAATTAAAGAATAATTTGACTAAAGTAATTCATTAAAATATGTTAAGAACAGAGCTTCTCCAAACAAAAGAAATTCCAAATCAAACCTCCCCAGCTGGCCAGGTGTAGCGGCTCACACCTGTAATCCGAGCAATTTGGGAGGCTGAGGCAGGTGGATCACCTGAAGTCAGGAGTTCAAGACCAGTCTAGCCAACATGGTGAAACCCTGTCTTTACTAAAAATACAAAAATTAGCCGGGCATGGTGGCACATGTCTGTAATCCCAGCTACTAGAAAGCTGAGGCAAGAGAACAACTTGAACCCAGGAGGTGGAGGTTGCAGTGAGCCAAGATCATGCCACTGCATTCCAGTCTGGGCAATACAGCGAGACTCCACCTCAAAAAAACAACAACAACAAAGAAAATCTCACTAATATTAAAAACAATGTAAATGATAACTGAGAGAAGGCAAGAAAAGTAATCATAATTAGGAAGTTGAAAAAGCTGCACCTTATTACTAAAAGAAAACTTTTCATAAAACATCTTTGACCAAGTTTGGTAAGATGGAAAAAAAAAAAAGTAAAATTAGTGGCTAGATGCAGTGGCTCATGCCTGTAATCCCAGCACTTGAGAGGCCAAGGTAGGCGGAAAACCAGGTCAGGAGAGTGACACCATCCTGGCCAATATGGTGAAATCCGGTCTCTACTAAAATACAAAAAATTAGGTGGCATGGTGGTACACCCCTGTAGTCCCAGCTACTTGGGAGGCTGAGGCAGGAGAATCGCTTGAACCCAGGAGGTGGAGACTGCAGTGAGCTGAGATCACACCACTGCACTCCAGCTTGGTGACAGAGCGAAACTCAGTCTCTCAGTCTCAGAAAAAAAAAAAAAGTAAAATTAGTCTTAACTCAAAAGCATGAACCACCACAATTAAAAGACTGTAAAAAAAAATTAAAGGTTTTCAGAGCCAAAGAATTTCCACTATGAAACTTCGTTTTTCTTCTCACAAAAATTGTTAGTCTTTGCAGTATAACATTCAGTACACATGACATGAACATTTTTTTCCTAGCAATCTTGCTTGTCCTCTGACAGCCTACCAAAATGAAAAGTAAAAGAACAAAGTACTTTATAAATTTAATTAGAGGACCGGCTGATCCAAGATGGCCGTTTAGGAACAGCTCAGGATTGCAGCTCCCAGTGAAAGCGCAGAGGGTGAGTGGATGCCGCGTTTTTATTGCCCACAGGCTAGGAAATTCCCGGGCGGAGGTGCTCCACGGTCGCCAGCGCGGCTGTTTCGGCCAGCGCCGCTGCTTTGCCCCGCGCGGCTGCTTTGTCAGAGCCCCGGAGCCGCGGTTCTCCGTACAAAATACACCGGTCCGGGGGCCCTTTTGGCTGGCAATTGGAGCCACGGGAAGTCGCCCATTCGCCGGTTCAAAAAGGGGACTGAGCAGAGAACCAGGACACTAGATTCCAGGGCAAAAAAACAAAAAAAAAAGCGCCACAAACCTCAGTGCTGCTGTTTAAGCCTGCGCAGTGAGTGGCGGCAGGGGAAAACAGACCCCGGCGCCTCTTCAACAGGCGACTGGAACACCAACTTAAAAAAGGCTCTGAGGCAGGGAGCCAGGCGATCAGGCTCGGCTGGCCCCACCCCCACAAAAGAACAGCAACCAGAAACTCTGGATTGAGAGTTTCACAGCAAGTGTAGCTGAACCCGGGACGGTCCAGCTCTGTGGGGGAGGGGCGTCCGCCATTACCCAGGCAGCCCGCCGTTGCCAAGGCAACCCGCCATTGCTGAGGCAGCCCGCCGTTGCCAAGGCAACCCGCCATTGCTGAGGCAGCCCGCTGTTGCCAAGGCAACCCGCCACAGCAGAGACTCCGCCCCAACAGAGGCGGGCCACCATCGCCAAAGCAGTTCTAACTACACCCATATAAACAGGACTACAGGGAAGTTCACTCGGCAGCTGGGCGGAGCCCACAGCAGCTCAGCAAAGCTGCTATAGGCCAACAGTGACTAGGCTGCCTCTTTGCTGGACTGCACAGGTCTGAAGGAAAAAAAAAAAAAAAAGAAGGCGGCAGCATAACGGAAACCCATAAATAAAGCCCTAAATCCCTGGGACAGAGCACCTGGGAACAAAAAGCAGTTTATGAGTTCTGCTGCAGCAGACCTAAAAGTACCTGCCCCGCAGCTCTGAATGAACAACAACAGAGCTCGCAGCTCACCATTTGAGCTCCTATAAAGAAGAGATCGTATCCTCAAGCAGCTCTCTGACCCCTATATATCCAAAAAGACACCTCATAAAAGAGAGTTCAGATTGACACTAGGCGTGTATCCTTCCGGGACAAAGATAGCAGAAGAAGAAAACTGGTAACAACCCTTGCTGTTCAGCAGCTGCTGCAGGTGAACCCCAGGCAAGCAGGGCCTGGAGTGAACCTCAGCAGACCTACAGCAGAGGGGCCAGGCTGTCAGAAGGAAAACCAAGAAACAGAAATAACCTTATCATCAACAAACAGACTGTCAATCTGAAAGATTTGAGACCCAATCTGAAAGCCAACAACCACAAAGTCGACAGGTAGATAAATCCTTAATGATGGGAAGAAACCAGCGAAAAAAGGATGAAAACACCCGAAACCAGAACACCTCTCCTCCTAAAAGGGATCACAACTCCTCACCAGCAAGGGAACAAGGTTGGAGGGAGAACGGGTGTGATGAAATGACAGAATCAGACTTCAGAAGGTGGGTAGTAAGAAACTTCTGTGAACTTAAAGAACATGTTCTAACCAAATGCCAAGAAACTAAGAACCTTGAAAAAAGATTTGACGAAATGCTAACAAGAATGGACAAAATAGAAGGGAATATAAGTGAATTGATGGAGCTGAAAAACGCAACACGAGAACTTCGTGAAGCATGCACAAGTATCAACAGCCGAATAGACCAAGCAGAAGAAAGGATATCAGAGGTCGAAGATCAACTCAATGAAATAAAACGGGAAGGCAAGACTGGAGAAAAAAGGGTAAAAAGGAATGAACAAAGTCTCCAAGAAAAGTGGGACTATGTGAAAAGACCTAATCTACGTTTGATAGGCATACCCGAATGCGATGAAGAGAATGAATCCAAGCTGGAAAATACTCTTCAGGATATTATCCAGGAAAACTTCCCCAACCTAGCAAGGCAGGCAAACATTCAAGTCCAGGAAATACAGAGAACACCACAAAGATATTCGTCAAGAAGAGCAACCCCAAGGCACATAATCGTCAGATTCACCAGGGTCGAAATGAAGGAGAAAATACTAAGGGCAGCCAGAGAGAAAGGTCGGGTTACCCACAAAGGGAAGCCCATCAGACTCACAGCAGATCTCTCAGCAGAAACCCTACAAGCCAGAAGAGAATGGGGGCCAATATTCAACATCCTTAAAGAAAAGAACTTTCAAGCCAGAATCTCCTATCCAGCCAAACTAAGCTTCATAAGTGAAGGAAAAATAAAATCCTTTGGGAACATGCAAGTACTCAGAGATTTCGTCACCACCAGGCCAGCTCTACAAGAACTCCTGAAAGAGGCTCTACACATATAAAGGAACAACAAGTACCAGCTCAACTAAAGGGCAAAACACCCAGCTAGCACCAAAATGGCAGTATCAAATTCACACATAACAATATTAACCTTAAATGTAAATGGACTAAATGCCCCAATCAAAAGACACAGACTGGCAAATTGGATAAAAAGCCAAAACCCATCGGTGTGCTGTATCCAGGAAACCCATCTCACATGCAAGGATACACAAAGGCTCAAAATAAAGGGATGGAGGAAGATTTACCAAGCAAATGGAGAGCAAAAAAAGCAGGAGTTGCAATTCTCATCTCTGATAAATTAGACTTTAAAGCAACAAAGATCATAAGAGACAAAGAGGGACATTACATAATGGTAAAAGGACCAATGCAACAAGAAGAGCTAACAATCCTAAATATATACGCACCCAATACAGGAGCACCCAGATACATAAGGCAAGTTCTTAATGACTTACAAAGAGACTTAGACTCCCACACAATAATAGTGGGAGACTTTAACACCCCATTGTCAACATTAGACAAATCAACTAGACAGAAAATTAACAAGGATATCCAGGACTTGAACTCAGACCTGGACCAAGCAAACCTAATAGACATTTACAGAACTCTCCACCCCAAATCCACAGAATATACATTCTTCTCAGCACCACGTCACACCTACTCTAAAATTGACCACATAATTGGGAGTAAATCACTCCTCAGCAAATGCAAAAGAACGGAAATCATAACAAACAGTCTCTCAGACCACAGTGCAATCAAGTTAGAACTCAGAATTCAAAAACTAACTCAGAACCGCACAGCTTCATGGAAACTGAACAACTGGCTCTTGAATGTTGACTGGATAAACAATGAAATGAAGGCAGAAATAAAGATGTTCTTCGAAACCAACGAGAATGAAGACACAACATACCAGAATCTCTGGGACACATTTAAAGCAGTCTCTACAGGAAAATACATAGCAATAAGTGCCCACATGAGAAGCAAGGAGAGATCAAAAATTGACACCCTATCGTCAAAACTGAAAGAGCTAGAGGAGCAAGATCAAAAAAACTCAAAGTCTAGCAGAAGACAAGAAATAGCTAAGATCAGAGCAGAACTGAAGGCGATAGAGACACAAAAAACCCTTCAAAAAATCAATAAATCCAGGAGCTGGTTTTTTGAAAAGATCAACAAAACAGACAGACCACTAGCCAGATTAATAAAAAAAGAAAAGAGAGAATAACCAAATTGATGCAATAAAAAACGATAAAGGGGATATCACCACAGATTCCACAGAAATTCAAACCATCATCAGAGATTATTACAAACAACTCTATGCACACAAACTAATAAACCTGGAAGAAATGGATAAATTCCTAGACACTTGCCTCCTGCCAAGCCTA